ATAAAATGCTCACGGGTGAACTTTTGGGCCTCTTCACCATAAGGTTCACCCTGGAAAGATGCAGAGGAGTTGCGAGCTGAGATTCTTGAATACATGAATTCCATATCAGGCAATTTTGAACAAAAAAGGCTGCTTCATGTAACATCACGTGCAATGGAAACCACAAGAGCGATTGGCCATGAAACCCACCAGGCCATGGCAACTAACTTGAGGTGCGGACAATTTCTTGCTAAGCTCATGAGGAGTGCACTGTTCAGAGTCATGCACAAACAAAGACTTGCAGCAATTCAGCAGTTTGCGAATTTTCCATGCAACAGCCAATGAACAGAGAAAGCGGATGGAAACATGCGTTAGGTTGCCTTGCAAGGTACAGGGCATGAATTGTCACTTGCTGATAAATGAATCAACAAACAATATCTGGCATATTGACCCACAACAAGCAGCATTACAGCCAATGCCTAGTGTGCTGAAGTCTATTCCAGCAGATTGATGTTGGAATAACTGGGATGTTCAAATTCCAGGTGTGACAAACTAGTCTGCATAACGCCCAACACTCAACATTGACCCACACAAGATACAACAATTGTTACACTTCGTACTGGAGCAATTGTATGCAAATGGTGTTGAACAGGTGCACTCCAAGCCATGAGCAGCACGCTTGATTCTCCTACACTCATAGTTCAGCCACACTCTATCTGAGTAGAGCAGTGACAGAAAACGCCGAGAATAGTACAGATTTCTTGTGGCTATATTGACTGGCTACAGTCACTATTGAAAATGTCCTGAGCCCTGGATGATGGGCTGTTTAAAAGAAGCTGATATAAAGACAAGAACACACCTAAGCTGGTGGCAAACGAGACGGCATCACACTGATTCATTACTCAATACATACAAACATTACACAAACAAACCGATCTGGCAGACTCTGCAGCCTGCCATCCAATTAATCGCCAATGAACAATGGGACAGCACAAGAATTGCTCCACTGTCTCCCCAGCGGCATTAATGTGAACATATCCTGGCATGCCTTTCTGTCCTGGGAAGGTCTTGATGGAGCCCTCACGCCAGACGGGGCAAAGACGATTGTAGCACCTTCCTTGGGGATGAACAGTTTTAACCGGTGTCCACTGATAACATATTCACAGATGGCTGTCATCTTCCCACTGCGCTTGAAAGATGGAAGGTACTGCTTTGCCCTGCAGCACAGCCATGCACAAATACAAGGTTATGTCGAGTGTCACAAACACACAAGCGGCACATTCCAACCACAACCGTCAACGATTTGCTCTTTTACTCAAAATCACCAGGGTAAGTGGCGGATGATCTCTTGAGCAGCAAAGCAGGAAGTCAACGAGCAAATTCATGCTGGGGCATTGTGAACATAATGAACAACATAAAAGTGACACAAGGCACAAATATAAAGCTCAGAAACTGTGCCACAGGAAGGAATGATCAGAACAGTGCCACACATATACAACAGCTGCGGTGGACGCCATTTTGGCAATCACCGTACAGCATCCGCCACCACAACTGAGTGTCAACCAGGACATGGTACTTTCACAACAACCTTATCCAGTGCTTCCTTCACGGAACTGGATTCTTTGGAACAAATTTGGCTTCAAGGGCAAGACAGTGCCATTGCACATTGAAGACCATGATGGGCAATGCATCCCTCCACGCTGTTTAGATTGATCCATTCACTTGCAATGCACCACTCCCCCCATTTTGTGCTTTGCAGTAGGTGCAAATGGACCATTCAGGCGAGGGGACTGGAGTTTGTGGAAAAATCGAGATAACCAAGCACAGCATGGGAATAGAGCAAATGTGGTGCTGGTACTCAACATGCTCATCAAAATTGTATATGGGACACACCTGGACGAATTCTGTGGCAATGACACATCATTCAGCCTGTGCATGGGTGCCTCCTTGCCGCTGTGCAGGTTCTTCCTGGCCTTCTTGGCCTCTTCCTCCGCCTCCAGCAGCTTGTCATAAATCGAGCTCCTCTCCTCATCCGTGCGGTGTCTAACAACAGAGGCCAGCCCGTTCTTGACAACCTGTTCTGCCACCTGTACCTCCTCGCCCTTCTCCTTAACCATTATGTTCCCAAAGGCCATCATATCCCTCACCGGCTGGCTGGGGTTTGCCACGGGTGCCTGAGGCTGCAGTTTCCGTGTGTACTCCATGTTGACACTGACTTCCTTGCCTATGAGGAGCTTCCTTGTGAATTCCTTGGCTTCGGGAGCCCACCCATCTGGCTTGCGATCGCGGGTACCCATCCTTGGGGCCCGCAGGCTGCAATTCGATGAAGCACACAGCATGTCAAAACAAGAGCCAAGCAACAGTTTGTTTTGCACCATGGACATCTTGTCATGCAATTGATGTTCTTATATAATACAACAGCAACGAAATTCCTCCTGAACAAGAGCATTTTGATACCTTACCAGAGATGACGATACAGCAGTCTTAAGCGAACAGTAGAGCAACTCCCAGGGGCAAACCAAAACCTCGGCTTTAGCATGGACTCGATGCAAATGGCCTGCACAAGGTAGCGTGCACTCTCATTGCAGATGACTGAACTCCATGATGTGCAAGGCAATGCTAATGGTTTCTGTTGTTGTCCAGGTGGCCCAACCTTCCTTCATAGAACTTCAAAGGAAACTGCGCCATTCCCACCTGGAGAGTGTGACACGCCGCTCAGTCCTGGATGCCTTGTCCATGACGATCACACAGTCGCCACTGACGACCTCAATGACAACACCAGTGAACTTGTCACTGAGCTTGGCAGTGTTGGTCACTGGTGGCACATAGCCTGTCCAGATACCTTCCCTCTTTTGTTTGGACGTACGTTCTAGCTCTCGCAGCTTCGTTGCACCTTGAGTCATCATGTTCAGGCTCCATTCCGCACACTGAGAACAACAGGCAGATGTTTACTTTCACCCCACTTGAGTAACGAATACTCCTGAAGTTGTGCACATAGTACAAACTTCCTATGCACGCAATATCTTGCATGTATCAGGCAGGACTGAGAAACACTGTGTTCCATATTCGCACACTGTGCTAGCATGCATTGCACTCCTGTAACCCCTAATTCTTCTGTCACCAACCTTGCAAGGAAACAGCCACTTGGCCTGACTGTGTTCATGCACACATCTCCACAACATCAGGGATTCTCCACTCCGTACCATGCAGCAATACCTCCACAGCAGCCATTGACAACATTGGCATCGAAACAATGAAAAATGCCACTTTTTCCAAAACCCAGGGTGAAGGATGCAGACATGCTTGGATGAAGGTTACGGCAGGAAAGAGTCCCAAATACGTAGTCGTCAGAACTGGGAACTGTTCGGTGCCCATGCTTGTACTACCTGCCAGCATGGTTTGGGACTAGCAAGCATGAAATGTTTGCTGAGAAACACTGTGGCTCAGCAACAACACACAACAGTGGAACTTTGGTGCACGAGTCCCTCGCATTCTATTGTGCAAAAGCCTGCTTCGTTTTGAACTCCCAGGAACACACCTTGGCCATGCCATGCTGGACAAGCTGCTGTGCTAGGTCCATGACTTCTTCGCCCTGGGGATAGAGGACGTTCCCAAAGAGGTTGTTGTATTTGTCAACACCCTCCAAAACAATGCGAACCTCCCTGCAGCAAAAACAGCACCAACTTTGCATCAGTACACCTTCATAGAATGCCATCAAGCAGCAGGCAGCAAGGCAGGATCAGTGCCATCTTGAGTGGAAACCTATGCTTCTGTTCCTCCACGTATTACTGTTGTCACATAGACACCAACCTTGTACCTTCCAACCATGACCAGTGCAGCAACATCCAATCATTATTTGATTGATGTCCCCAGATCGCAGTGTTACACACCAGCCACGAGCACCATGCAAAATGGATGGAGAATGGCTCCAGGATACACCCAACAGATTTGGGCAAGTAAAAGGGTCCAATGCCTCATGATCCTGACAGAAAAAGGAGAATGCAGGAAAGACCCAAACTACCTATTGTAGCCATCTTCACAAGATGTACCAGTCAATGAAAGGGGTAAGGCCAGTGTGCCGTGTTCCTGGCAAGTGTGCTTGGGTACACATCAAGGGTACTGTGCTTCACAGTTATTAAAGCAGCAAACCCCGTTTTGAGAGACTGGTACCTGTGCAAGGCCCGCACCTCCGAGAAGTGACGGGCCTGCAGGGCGAAGGGCTCGGGGCCCTCTCCCGCCGCCCCATTCTCCCCAGATCGGCGGTTCATGGAAGGGGCCTGCACCCCCGCCAGGGCCACCAGCGCGGAGTTGAAGGTCGGCAGTAGCGTCACGCGCAGCAGACTGCCGTTCAGCACGCCCTCCACGATCCCCGACAGCGGCTTGCCCTTGCCAACCCGCGCCAGCAGCTCCATGCCGGCCAGGTCCTCGGTGGGCAGGTCCCGCACCGCGGCCTCCAGGGCCGCCGGGTCCTTGTTCCACATCCCGGTGCCCTTCTCCACAGCGGCCTTCTCCGCCTGCTGCAGGTCGTCAAAGTACGGGCTCTTCTGGGTGCCCACGGGGTTGACCTGCGCCCACAGAACGCTCAGCACCCCCGCCCAGTCTCAGCAGCCCAGGGCACCAATGCCCCCCCCCGGCTGAAGCCCCCAGCCCATCATCGCGCCAGCCAGCGCCCGCGGTCGATCGATGAAAGTCCGCCCGAGGGCGAACGCGGAGCGCAGGGCAGTGCGGATCACCCTCACCTTGGCCCAGCCGTTGGCGGCGACAGTCAGCGCCACGTTCTCCTTGTCCATGAAAACGGAGCCGAACTCCCTGTTGCCGATCTGCTCCACCCTGTAGTCCGTCCTGAACACGCATTCCTGCGATCCGGCCCGCGAGTCAGCCGCCGTGATCGCCCCCACGCCCCGCCGGCAGATCGGCGCGGCGGGGCACCGCCGCGGGATGATAGGCGCGCGCGACGCCGTCAAGATCCGCGCCCCACCTTGCCGATGCACTTCTTCCTCAGGAACTCCCGCGACTCCCAGGCGAAGGGCTCGTCCTTCGTGGCCCCATCGCGCCGGCCCTGCGCCAGGCCACGGCCATCACACCGTCAGCACGGCACGGTCACCCCCCCCACCCCACCCCACACTGACCCACGCCACAAAGAATCTCTCGACGCCGCCAGCCCACATCGTCCGCCGCGGCAATCGCGGCGGGCGAAGGCCGTTCCAGGGCACAAACACAGAAGCGCGCGATCACGGCGCTGGCCTCATCGACCCCAGCCCCACAGCGAGATCCAGGTCCAATCGGACGGCGCGCCCCGCGCGGCGCGAGAACGAGCACCTGGCGGCGCACATCCCCGCCCGCTGTCCCAGAATCCCGGACACGCGACGGGCCCGCGATCCAAAAACATGCAGCCCTCCCCCGGCGGGCGCGATCCGCGGGGGAGGGCGCGCAGGAGGGATCAGCGCGAGGCTCACGAGTTTGGGTGCCTTGAGGGATGACAAGATGAGCGTCTTCTCGGGCGGGGGCCCGCCCGCCGCGGCGCCCATCACTAGCAGGGTGTCTCCGCTGTGGACGGCCTTCACGGTGCCCCGCAGCCATTGTGAGGGCGGGGCCATCTTGCCTCGGACGGCCGGCCGGTGGCGCCTGTTAGGTGGCGGAGGCAGAACCTGTCGCGGGGCGGGGGGCCGATAGCTCGGGAGGCGGCGGTTGAAGCTAAGTGCTCAGCTGCGGGAAGAGGGGGGAGGGGGCGAGGGGTGGGGCTGGTGTTTTCCGTGCGCGCGTGCGAGTCGAAAGACTCAGGGAAGTGGGGTTTGGCAAGATGAAGGGGGAGAGCGGAGGCTGTGAAGGGCGCCCGGAAAAAAAGCTACCAACGGCCGGGGGTGGGGCTAGGGGGAACGGCGATGGGGATGTCTGACCGGGGATCGAACAGGGCACATGGGATGTCACTACTGTGCCAAGAAGGAAGCCTTCCGAAGTGAGTAGTCCAACTCCTTAAGTACCCTTGCACCCAACAGCCGGTGAACCTGGTTGGAGTAGGCGCGGAGCGCGCTGAGTTGGCGGGCGTTTACCTGCCCTGCCTTTGCAGTCGTCCCGCTCTCACCATCGATGAACACAGGAGGCCAACAGCTGCTGCGAGCCGGCAGATGCGCCACTGAGAAGCAACGGCTGACTGTCCTGAGCCGGGAAAATGGCAGCAATGCGGGCGATCCTGATGCAAGGAGGGCTACTGGAAAAGAAATTGTGCTTAAACGAAACAATGCCATACATCACAAAATTCTATGTGTAGTGCTTGTCATCTGGAGCGGTCTTGTAGAGGGTGCATCGAAGCAAAGCGTCTTAGCCGTGAATGATGTGCCAGCCATGTCAAACGTGTGGTGATACTAGTGCACAAGTTTAAACTCTGGCTTGTGGTTTATTGTACACTCAGAGCGAAGCCCCAGCAATCATTTTCTGCAGGCATGGATGTTTGGCAGCGTCAGCCTCAAGATCACAGAGCAGTGCCTGGGCTTGCTGCATAAGATCAGCATCCGGCAAGTCGAGGTTGATGGCCTTGAGGTCATCAAGAAACTTCTGCCCTCGGGCCTGTGCATCGAACATGCCATTACTGGCAGTTTCTTGGCAACTTGTCTTTCCGTCCGGTCTCACCTGTCCAGATCCAAAATGATGTCTGAATCACATTTTGTTTTCCGAACTGAATTAAGTGCGCGTGAATGCATTTGTGGCCAAAGGCAAACAACAATTAAAACAAGAACAATGAGGGCTATCAACCAAAACGAATGGATGCTCCTGGTGGCTGGTAACATCCAGTTCTTATGATCATTTTGGCGTGGTCAATGACCCAGTGGCTCTTCAGTGCCGAAAAACGTCTTTACACACTGCAACGGCAATTCTGACCCACAGACCACTGTCCTGTGGTATCCATCAACAAAATGTTCTTGGGCTATCTGGCTGTATGGTGTTATTGCACTGGCATGAATGGATGCAAGCCAAACCTCATCTACCTGCCCAGCCGTTCCTTCCAGCTCCTCCAGCTTCCTCTTTGCCAGCTCAACCACGACTGGTGGGAACTGTGCAAACTCCGCAACATGGATGCCAAAAGACTGATCACACGCTCCTTCACTGACCTTTTGAGACACAGGCCGATTGTCAGATCAAGTCGTCCTGTTGCTGCCATTGTGAACTTTCATGTGTGGCACATGGGCTGTTGTTGCTGTCTTTGGGAGGAGGATACAATGGCTGAAGTATCGCAAGCAGCCACAGTAGGGTCCATTGTACAATGCAGTGGAATCAATGTCAAATTGATGGAACTAAATTCTGAACCAGTTCGTATGATGTGGTTGGCGCTGGTTCAGCCAATTCTCAGTTTGCTTGTGCTCTCTTGGACCAGCAAGGCCCACTTTTTTCAGCAATGTTGAGTGGCTGACTTGCTCCATGGACACGTGGGCAACACTACAGGTTTTGGTTGTCAATGTTCTGCAGAACATGAGTGCCTGGTGAGTACCAGCTGTTCATTGTGCATCCTCACCCTGGAGCAAGAAAGACAACGGATGCACCAAGTGCCACGTCCAGACCTGTGCACTCACAGGCAATGAAAGTTATGTTGTTTTGCAGGCAAGAAGACAGCCCCCATTGCCACAATGCCAAGCTCGCTATGCTTCATTTCAGCAGCTAAGGCACACAAGACAGTAGAAACAGAAACAATGGGTGCAGGCAACAACAGCTGCACGGCTTGTGGATGCCGTGTTTACTACCATCCACAGGAACTCATTCTTTCAAGGTGCCTCATATTGCCTTAGACTGTCTTATGGCGATAGGGATGTGTGAAACCGAAAGGAAGAAAAATACAGGGGCAGTTGATAACAGGGTGCTGCTCATTTGCACAAAGATATTCAGGACACCCGATGCAGCCTCAACTTGCACCACCTGGTAAGAATATGACCTGGTACAGCATTGGATCGCACCTGGTACAGCATTGTGAGTTTTCCGGAATGTTCATCAATGGTAGTTTCGACGTGCATGTTCTTCACCCCCACGCTCCCTTGAATGGCTGTCAGCTCATGGAAGTGAGTTGCAAACAGCGTGGGCGCACCAATGATCTCCATGATGTGCTCTGAGATTGCCCATGCAAGACCAAACCCATCGTACGTCGATGTTCCACGCCCAAGCTCGTCAATGATAATCAGCGACTTTTCTGTAGCCCCCTGCAGGCACCACTTGGCACAATCAGGCTCCCCACCTTAGCATGAGCACGTTCTGTTGGAGCTAGCAACCTTCTGCTGAGATTGTACCCCTTGTGGACGGCCATGAAGCCTGCTTGAATCCTTTGTGGTGCTTGGAGTTCTTGGTTCACATGTTGCTTGGTGTTGTATTTGGTGCCATGGTCAAGTTTGCAGCACACAGAGGTACTTGTTGAACAGTGCACACGCTGCAACACCATAACTGCCTCCCTGCCCGTCTTTCAGGTGTTTTACATCGGGGAAAATGACAAAAAGCAAGTGGCATCAGGGGCACCTCAGCTCAACAGGGAACCTCACAATTGGTCAAATGGTAGAGACAACTGCATGGCAGCATGTGAAGAATGAGCAAATGTCACCACTTACAATGAAAATGAAAAATGACAAATAACGTGACGCTGGTATTCTTTGCTGTTTGAACATCAGCTAAGGTATCTTTATTGCCTGATGATAGTGAGGTGAACTTCCCATTCTAGGCACGACAGCTGCTGTTCACAGCCAACATGGAAGGACGGGCGTGTGCATGCTCTGGCTTCACAATGATCCACCAACAGCACCTGCTAAGGACTGTCTTCACTTCATAGCATGGTGGCTCAGGCAGCAATTTCGACCAGCACACCTTCAAAATGGATGCGGTTTCCAGCATCTCTGCCATGAATGTTGACACACCCCTCAGCTGACAGTCCCCAGCTCCCACACGAGCAAAAATGCAATCTCGAGCAGCAATGCGGGCTTCATCGCACGGCACAAAGGAACCAACTTGGGCCATAAGGACGATCGTGCCGACCTACAAAGGAACAATCACCACAACAGAGGAACACTTACCGAAAACAACCGTTATTGTGCATGTTAAATATAGCAAGGAATGCCCATACACCAATTTGGGCAATGTTCGGGTGAAGTAATCAAGCAAACTTTCCCAAACAGCAGAAAATCTGGTTGGGCCAAGGTTGCATCCTATATCTGCACACCTTGTGTATGTATAGTGTGTCGATTGTTGCAGTTTGACATAAAGGGAACAGTCAAAGCCTGCATCGATTAGCAAATCAGCTCTTTCCCACAGAGGAATAGGTGGTATGAAGCACACAACAACGACCATACAGGCAAGAACCTGCATCCTGTAAATCCATTCAGGACAATCTGTGGACAGTTGGGCCTGATCACTTGCTGGCCATGTCTGCTCCCCCAAGAGAGCAATATGCCTTCTCATTGGTTTGCAGAGTTTGATGCCCTGCAACAGGCCATTGCTGTGGTTATTCACATGCACATAGTTGCCATTTGAATTGATAGTGACAGACATTGGCATCTGCTACGCTGTATTGGCATATCGATAGTAAACCTCAGAGCATGCGCTCCCGAGATTGGAAGATGACTGTATTGGAGCTGGTTTCCTTTCTGCACAGAAGGGATGCTAGCGTTGCGCTGGTTTATAACAAACCAAAAGAATGTAACAAGCTAGGTCTGGTTATGAGCAAAATATATGGTGACAAAGGAAATAGCAACAACTTGATGAGTAAACCGCCACGCTGTTTCGGTGGTTACCTGTCTGATAAAGGTCGATTTGCCACCCATGTTCGGGCCTGTTATGATTTGGAACCAGCTCTTGCCATGCACCATCTCACAGTCATTCTTGATAAAGTCCAGCCCATCTTGGGCCTCCACACAGGGGTGCCTGCTGCCTCTCAGAATGAGCTCCCCGCTGTCAGGTGGCAGAACTGTGGGACGGATGTAGGGACATGGGGCGCTTGCAGCCAAATCGGCAAAACCTGCCAACACATCCAGCTCCCCAAGTATGGCTCCAACTTGCTCCCAGATCTCCACAAACGTGTGGGCGACTTCAACGACCTGTTGGTCAATCAAGCAGTCAATCAAGATTCCAAACGCAAAACCCTTCGACCACATATCCCAAAGCACCCTGATTGAATGGAACATATCTATCGTCTGTCAAATCTGACATCGCGTGACATGTGAATGGCAGTGTTTTGTCAGATCACTTGCACAATCTATCAAGAAGGCTGCGGGTTCATAAACTCCACAAGCATACCCTTCTGCTTCCGAACATATTGAACCCCATCATGAATTCAGTGTCATCAAGTGCCCACCTGCGTGACGAGCTCTGCCTGGATCTCCTGATATTCGCCACTGACTGCCTGCAGCTGTTCTGCTGCAGCCTTCAGTTTGCTGTTGGTGAATTTGGTGCCATCCTTACGTGTCTCCAACAAGGTGTAGCTGTGTGGAGACAGAGGGCAAAAGAAGAATCTCATACTTCCATGGCAGGAGACTGTGAGGAGACTGCACTACAAGGTTTCATCCGTTTCTTGCTTGGTGACGAAGCAAGAAGACAAAGCAGACCCAGGCCCATGGTTGAGTAATCAGCACAC